TCTGGCTGGGAGGTCATTGGAACGCCTGCTATGTGTCACCGCCGCGTCATTACCCCATGGGGCGTGCCCAGTCGCCCGACTTCCAGCGGGCTCGGGTTATGCCGTTCATCTGCTTTGGGCCCTCGCACGGGTCGTCGGTTTCTTGCCGCGGGGATGCCCCCCCAGCTTAAGCGCTGACCTCCGGCTGTCCGCCGCCATGCAGTTCATGCCATTCACGCAGCTTGCGACTGTCAGTCGCCTGCCATTCGCGCGCCTCCCACCGCTCCGCGGGCTGCCCCCCTGGTGGCCGCCCTGGCTTCGCGCCCAATGCCGCCTGGCGAACGCCCAGCTGTGGTCGCCGGTCCCCCTCTGGCCCCCCCCCTCGCCCTTGCTCTGGACTGCTTGCGGCCCTTCGCCCCCTGGCACTGGGTCGCCCCCCCCTGCGCCCGCCCTGGGCGCTGCGCCGGGCTCCCCCGGCCCCCCTTCCGCTGTCTCCTGCCGCGAGACCGCCGAGGCGCCTGGGGGGTGTCACTGTCGCGTCGCTACACGCGGCGCCGGCCCAGCCTTCGTGCTCCGCTATCAGTGTGGGTTCGGGCTCTACTAGCTTTACGACCGCTTGTCGCCTTCTCGCCTTCTCCGCCCCCGCAGGCTCCACGCGCGAGGCCGCCGGGGGACCCCCTCGGCCCACCAGGGCGCTGTTCCGCCCCGTCCTGGCTCCTCCTCTCTCGGTGCTATGGCGGGTGCCCCGTGCTCGCGGCGAGGGGCCTGCGGCTCGCTGGCGGCGTCGGCGCGGGGCTGCCGCCCCCGCCGCGGGCTCCGCTGCCGCCGGCGCCCTCGACGCCGCGGCCGCCGCCCGCGCCGCCGGCGCTCGCCGCGCCGCGGAGACTGCCGCCGCAGAGGTGGCTCCACCGCCGCGCGCGGCTTGGCGCTGCTGGCCACCTGGCCTGCTGCGCGCGCCGCCGGCGCCCCCGTCGCGGCGGGCGCCGCCTGCGCCGCTGGCGCCGTGGCGCCGCGGCCGCGGCCGGCGTTGCGCGGGCCGCTTGCCTCGCTGTCGCGCCGCGCTTTCTATCGCAAGACCTGCGCTGCCCCAGCGCGCGAGGCCGCAGGGACACCCCCCTCGGCCCGTCGCGCTTGGGTCCGAGCTCCCCCAGGGGGTGCTCCTCCCGGTGGGTCTCCAACGCTCCGGGTACTCCGCGCCTCGCGGGGTCTCTACCCGGCCTGCGGCAGTTTCTCGCCATCCTCTTTCTGCCGCCACCCCAGACCTTGCGCGTGAGGCCGCTGAGAAACCCCCCCGGCCCAGGGAGCCGGTCAGCGGTCCTCCTCCGTTGGGTTCTCCTGGCCGTCCCCGCGGTCTGCCAGCTGGCCCCCCTCCCCTCGGGGATCTCCCTGGCCGTCTGGTGGTCTGCGCCTCGCATTCCGCCTGCCGCCTGCCCCTCTTCCCGCTTGGGGTCGACGGACACCCGGTCCTCCCCCTCGCTGCCCCTCTCCTTGGGCCGTGCTTCTCGTCTCCTTGGCGTCTGCCGGCCGCCGCTGCCTCTCTGGCATCCCCGCTGTTTCCCGGCTTCCGGCCTTTTGGCCTTTCCCTCTCGCCTCACAGCTCGGTCGGGACTCGCCTCCACCGCTGCCCCTCGACACCACTCGGTGTCTGGCGATCCGGATTTTCCGTTGAGCGCCCGCATGTCCAGTCCTTCCTCCGTGTCGGGGGTCGCCGTCCCACGCTGCTTTCTTACGCTCCTCTGAGCGGAAGTGAGGCTCGCCTCCTGTTTGTTTCTCTCCTGCTCGCTATTGTTTGTTATGTTCGCCCTTCCTTTTCTTTTGCGCTACTTTAGGCCGCTGCTAGTCTGTAGTTCCCTGGACGCCTCCCGGCCTTTCTTCGCCGCGGTCGCGATCAAAATGCCCCACCAGGCAACCAGAAACGATTGCCAGGCGAGGTGCTTTGAACAGGGATGTGTAGGAGCGCCCAGTGGAACAGACAGGTGAGCCAGCAGTTAAGCCCGAGCTCGAAATCAGCCAGAGCATATCCAGGAGTGCAATTGTTGAGCTTGCCGACGAGAAAAAGCTGTGGAGGAGAAAGTGGATAATAATGAGCGGCAGGAGGGAAGAGGATGCACAGGGGAGGAGGATGAGGAGGAGGAAGGAAGGAAGGAAGGAAGGAAGGAAGGTAGGAAAGAGGAGGAGGAGGAGGAATAGGAAGGGAATGATGCTGATGATGATGATGATGATGATGATGATGATGATGATGATGATGATGATGGTGATGATGGTGATGACGATGACGATGATGATGATGATGATGATGATGATGATGATGATGATGATGATGATGATGATGATGATGATGATGATGATGATGATGATGATGATGATGGTGATGATGATGATGATGATGATGATGATGATGATGATGATGATGATGATGATGATGATGATGATGATGATGATGGTGATGAGGAGGAGGAGGAGGAGGGGGAAGGAGGAGGAGGAGGAGGAGGAGGAGGAGGAGGAGGAGGAGGAGGAGGAGGAGAGGAGGAGGATGAGGAAGGAGGCGGAAAAGGGGGAGCAGGAGGAGGAGGAGGACGACGACGAGTGGGGCCCCCCTCCCCTGGCGAGCATGCAGGCATGCTCGTCCCGCGGCGGGGCCGACCGAGGTCGCTGCGGGACCCACCGAGGTCGCTACCGATGACGTGGCCCGCACGACGGGGTCGCCCAGCCATTTTAGCCCCCCCCCTCCCCCATTTTGGCCTCCTCCCTCCCACACAGACACGCCCAAGCATGCCGAGCCCCGTGCCGACACCGACTCCAAGGACCTCTCCCCCCTCCCTCCTCCATTCATGTATTATGCATCTCGCATTGCATGTTGTTCAGACACACCAGTTTCCTGAGGCCACGGCCTCGCCCACCTGGTCTTAGCTAGGCCCGGACGGCGTCCGCAGCGGTGGTCGTATCGTATCTTATCATATCGTATCTTCTTTCCAGCGCCTCTGGATAATTATGGAAGCAATCCTCGCAGCCTCCGCTGTACTAAAGCCGCTGCTCCTTGCTCGGCAGGCTGCCCACCATTTGCAGGCTGTCCACCAAAAGAGGGCCCAGGCATAACTGGCAAGACCACTCAATCCCCATCCTTTTGGTGTCCCTCCTGCACCTCCTCCGAAGATTTTCTTGTCAGGCACTTCGGGCTGTACACTTCCAAACCCCAGCAAGAGTGACCCCCATCACTGTGTCAAATTACTCCCAGTGAAACTTGCCGAAGGGCTGCGCCCAATTGTCGAACCGTCGAGGCATGCAGTCGTGGAAGCCTTGCTCCAACCAGGAAGAAAGACCTCGTCGCTTCCCCCTCTTGCGCCTCTCTCCTCCCCCTGGGGGAAAAAGTTGCTCGACAGCGCCAGGTGATCCAGAAGCTGAGCAAGGCTGGCGATGGCAGCGCAGCTGCGGCGTCCATGGAGGCCCCCAGGGGTGAGCTGGGTGGGGATGAGGAGGGAGCTCCCGACCTGCTGGAGCGTGATTGTGAGCCCCTGGGCTGTAAATTGAAGTTGGTGCGATCCGAGTTACGGACTCCCTTCCGAGTTTGATCGAATGCACGCTAAAACATCAGACGGCATGCAGGTTGAAACCTAGCTCAAACTGAATCCAAGCTTGGCACCAAGCCGTCACATGCTCATTCCTGTGTCGCTCTGGTCCGCTGCGCTTTTCTGCTTTGGGCTGTTCCCTTGCAGACGCAATGGCAAAGCAGTGCGATACAGCGAAACACGTGGGTGCGAGCCTTCAGTGCGAGAGCCTGGAAGGCGACCAGAAATCTCAGCCGCCTTCCATCATCCTTGGCTGGGTGTTACCAAAGGTGTCCCTGGCCCCATTGGGTCCCCAGGATTTGCAGGGAGACTTCCACGGCCTCCAAAGCGCCCCTCACGAGGCCCAGGGGGCCCAGGGGCTTCTAAATGGCGCGAAGGGCTTATCCGTCGCTTGGTCTCCACCCGACAGGTTGGGGTCATTAGACTTAAGAACAGACCTCCCGGCCCGCCCGCCCTGCACACCGCGGCCGCTAGATCCCCAGGCTCCCGATAATCCCTGGTGGTCCCGCTCCCCCCCCCCCCCTGCATATCGCTGCCGCCAGATCCCGAGGCTCCCGATAATCCCTGGTGGTCCCGCCCTCCGTGCCGACGCGCCCACTCTGCATATCGCGGCCGCCAAATCCCCAGGTCCCCCACAGAACAGAGCATAACACTACACCACTGAACAGAACAGATCCGAGCATAGCATACCATATCATGGCACACCATATAGTAACAGAACGCACCATGTCAGAGCAGTGCATACCATGGCACAGCACCTTGGCACATATCATTCTATAGCATGCACACAAAATATCAGAAAGAGCGTGTTCTACCGCTGCTAGCGGAAAACCGGGGGGGGTCACTACCGGTTCGAACCCCTCCCCCCCCCCCTTCGGAAAACCGGGGGGGTCACTACCGGTTCGAACCCCTCCCCCCCCCCAGTTCATTATGAGAAGGGGGGGGGGTCTTTGCCGGTTCGAACCCCCCCCCCCCCCTCGAGCTCGAAAACCGGGGGGGTCACTACCGGTTCGAACTCCCCCCCCCCCCCCTCGAAAACCCAGGGGGGGTGCGGACAGTGGTGGGGACGGTGGTGGTGGGGACAGTGGTGAGGGGACAGCGGGACAGTGGTGGGGACAGTGGGACAGTGGTGGGGACGGTAGTGGTGGGGACAATGGTGAGGACAATGGTGGGAACAGTGGGGACAGTGGGACAGTGGTGGGGACGGTGGTGGTGGGGACAGTGGTGTGGGGTCAGTGGGAATGTGGTGGAAACTGGAGGGTACAGTGGTGGTGGGGACAGTGGTGAAGGCGGTGGCGAGGACGGCGGTGGGACAATGGGAAAGAGGTACAGTGGGGACAGTGGTAGGGACAGTGGGGACAGTGGTGGGAACAGTGGGACAGCTCAGTGGTTCGAACCGGTATTGACCCCCCCCTCCGGTTTTCGAGGGGGGGGGGTTCGAACCGGTAGTGACCCCCCCCGGTTTTCGAGCTCGAGGGGGGTGGGGGGGTTAGGGGAGAGGGGGGGTTTTGCCGGGGGAAGGGGGGGGGGGTGAGGGGTTCCAGCAGGGGGGGGAGGGGGATTTTCGGAGGGGGGGGGGGACCCCCGGGTTCCGGAGGAAAAGGGCGGCAATTTTCCACAGTAAAGCGGCGGTGGATCACGCTCTCTCAAATATCACAATATGGCATAAAATGACATTGCGCAACACTGGCCCAGACCACCGCGCCCCGCGCACATCGTTCCAACAAGCGCGCGCACCTTCGGGATCAAACGCCGATAGGGATCGCTCGAAGCAAAATAATTGAAGGCCATTGATTTCTTCGGACTCTCATATTCAAATGTATTCTGGGCGCCTTCCTGTTTCCTTTCTTTACGGGGGGCGGGCGGGACCGAAAAATGTACTTTCGGCGCCCTCCCGCCTCATCTTGCCGCTCATCTCCGAGCGACGGCTGGGCCAGGAACACCTTCGGCGACCCGCTCGGGGTGCCGGGGCCGGCGTCTGGGAGGGGGCGCGCCGGTCTCGGCCAGACTGAGGCTCGCCCGGAGTTGGGCAGGGAGGCCCCCGCCAGGGGCCTCCTCCGCGCTCCGCGCCCTCGCCGCTCCCCCCTCCCCCGGGCGCCGCTGGCCCGCATGGGGCCCCGCGCCCCGTGCCCCGCGTGCCCCGCGCCTCGCCGCCCGCCAGTGCAGGAGCGAGTCCCAGGAGAGTGGCCTGGCCCAGGGCAGCTCGGTAGCACGTGCTGAGACAGAGAGGCGGGGAGGGGGGGGGGCAGCCGCCGTGTCGCTTCCACTCGCTCTGCATTGCGGCAGAAGCCAGAGGGCCCCTGGCAGGGTCGGCGCGAAGGCCTCCTGGTAGACGTCCACGATTCAACTGTAAGGTCTGCTTGGAGAAAAAAGTCTTCTGCCATTCGTGAGTCCACCGTGGACACTTTCGAAACAACTTTGGCTCAAACCATCTGGGCTCAATGCGTTTCTGCTCGATAAGATGCTCCTGAAAGTATCCGTTGGAGGCTTCGAAGGCCCATGGGGCCATCTTTGAAGCATATCGTGGTCTCTTGAAGGCATGCTGGAGGTAATCTTGAGCCATCTTGAGATATCTAGCGCCATCTTGGAGGCAGTCTTAGGGCCTCTGGGGCCAGTTGGGGGCCACTGGGCCAACACGCACCCTGTACCACATCGCCCCCCCCTCCCCCCCCGTCCAGACCTACGTAGGGGGTAGAGGGAGGGGTCAAGACACCTCTCTAGATAACAAGCCGTCTAGCTCACTCCCACCCGCCCTCCCAACACATAAGGAACACCTGAGCCTCAGCATGTTCAGCGGTCGCCTTTGGATGGACAGCTACTGGGAACCAAAACCGAGCCCATGTGCGCGACGCTGGGGCGAGGTGTACCACGCGTGCCAGGCGCGCCACGCGCGCCAGGCACTCTTGGGGCCCGAGAGTAGATGCGCCACGTGCCTCCGCGTGCGCCAGGTGTGCCGCATACTCCAGCCGCGCCAGGTGCGCCACGTTCGGGGCACGTGCAGAGTGTCTCAAGTGCACCTGCGCACGTGACAGCATTGATCGGGAAACACATCGGCCCCCACCATCCAGGTCGAACGCCAATGCCCACCATCGTGTCTGGTGGGCCTGCGCACAGCAAGCCATACGCCACCACTTGACAGTGATCGTGGGGTGGCCCGTGCATGATCCAGATTCAGCCGTGTGGTGAGTGTTGTATGATTTTTTGTCAGGGATGGTAGCCCTGCGCGCAGCAGGCAATATGCTAACACCCCCCCGTCCCTGTCAAAAAACAATGCGAACATTACTCCAGACTTTGCTCCAAAGTGTACTTTGTTATGTTTTTTGACAGGGATGGGGGGGGGGGCCTAATGGGATCCTCATTTTCATGGTTGGCTGCCAGACGCCTGGGGGAGGGAGGGGGTGTATATTAATAGGGAACAGAGATGGACCCTTCCCTGAGTGGGAAGAAGGGAGTTGGACGTGGACGCTTCCTAGACCTCCTTCGCCCAGAGGGCTGGTGGTATTCAGCGCAGTACAAGTCACTGCAAGCAGAGGCCGGGGCCCACACGGTTGTCTCGGCTCAGGCAGCTCAGGCTCACACGGTGGACTTGGCTAACAAGACCCTTGTGGTCTTAACCAGCCCGCTGGCTGCGAAGTCAGCCTCTTTCTCTGCGCCTGTGTAGGAAGCTTTCGGTAGCAAGTTTCGAGTGGCGTTGAGGTGACACTGAATGGATCGTGCGAAAGCAATACAAAGCCAGACCTCCGACAGCTCAACCTTTTCGAAACGCGGGCCACCAGGGCCTCCGGATATTTCCCAGGACTGGTTGTTCATCTTGATCACTGCAAGCACGGTTGTATTGTCACAGAGCGGAGTTGCATTATGATGTGTAGGAGTTTGTTATGTGTACGTTCATGTTGCGGGTGAGTGGTTTTACATGTGTTGCATCTAGTGGCCAGCGGCTCATCATGCCTTTGCGCCTTGGCCTCTTGGAAGGCTTCTCGGCGCCTCTTGGGATCCTCCGGGGCGTATCCAGTGCCCTCCCGGGCGCCTTTTGGGGTGCTCTTGGTGGGGTCGTCTTGGGCGAGAGATGTCCTGAGCACCCGGCTTGGCTCACCCTCTGAGGACAATAGTGTGAAATTCGTAGTTTGTTCAAGCAGTGTCGGCTCCCGTAGAGCTCGTGCAAGAGTGCTCAAGAGTTCTGGCAGGTCGGGGATCTGAGCATGTAAGAACCTTCATCCCTTCTTCTACTCACATCTGCATGAGCCTTGGGGCACTCCATTCATCACTCAGTACGAGCGCAAAGCACGTGCCGTATTCTTGCGTGCGAGTTTTTACCTAACAGCGAAGACTGATAGGTTTCTAGTGGTCTCAAAAGAGAGCAGCAGATGACTCCACAGGGGGGTCTGGGCGGGTGCCGGACAGGGTGCCGCAGAACTCATTTTAAGCCAACAGTCACACACTTCGTGCTCTTCGACTTCCCAGAACTCCATTCCCGGGCCACATTCTGAATGCCCGGAGCCAACTGTAGGCCACTTCGTGCTCTTCGACTTCCCAGAACTCCATTCCCGGGCCACATTTTGAATGCCCGGAGCCAACTGTAGGCCACTTCGTGTCTTCGAGTTCCCAGAACTCCATTCCCGGGCCACATTTTGAATGCCCGGAGCCAACTGTAGGCCACTTCGTGGTCTTCGAGTTCCCAGAACTCCATTCCCGGGCCACATTTTGAATGCCCGGAGCCAACTGTAGGCCACTTCGTGCTCTTCGAGTTCCCAGAACTCCATTCCCGGGCCAGATTTTGATGCCCGTAGCCAACTGTAGGCAACTTCGTGCTCTTCGACTTCCCAGAACTCCCATTCCTGGGCCACATTTTCAGCAGGGGCAAGAGCACGACGAGGAGG